ATATATATATATATAACTTGCTAATTTATCGTCTCAGCAGTTTAGACACAGAGGGCAATAAAACCTATAAAATCATTCCTTATTTTAAACCAACTTTTTATAAATCTTTTACAAAAACTTTTTATGATCACTACAGTTTAAACAAAGGGTTCAAGAAAATGATAACACATGAAATCGAATTTTTTAAAACCATCTTTCTAGTATATAACTTTCGAAAAATCATTTGGTTCTCACAAACAATTCCCGGCTGCACCAACCATAATAGAAAAGAAAATGCATTAGGTGAAAATCTCTTAACCGTGAAGTTGAACGTGGCAAGTACATGGTTTTCCTTTCCGTTTAACGCAAATCCTAGTTCATTTTATTCACTCTACTCTAAACAGGAAGGGGATTTTCATTTAATATTAACATTAAGAGTTCTTTTGTCTTTTGAGTCAGAATAGTCAGTGCAAAAATAGACAACGAGTAATAAACTGAACCTTCCAACTGCTTTGTTTATAATATATTTATTTGCCTCCCTCGTATAAGGGGTTCAATCGGTTCTCATTAAAGTGTTTTTTTTTTTCATAATAAAGACGCTATCAATTTCTATCTATGCGAAAAAAGTGATTTTCCTTGACAAAAGTAAGGCAATGTTTATGTTATAACTATGGCATCGGATAAAAGTTAATTTTACACATTACAAAATAAAAATAAAATGTATATTCTTCCATTACAACTTAAAAGATTATGATCTCACTTGAAGCTAGTATAATACCCCTTCTTTGAACAGGGAAAAATATAACTGTAAATAATTAATAAATCCATCTTAATTAATAATTTGCGACGATACACAGAACCTAAAATCATATACCAAAACAATTAAAACATTTAAATAATTTCAATTCCTATTATCATGTTTCCTGTGACTTTACATTACTAGATTTTAAATTATAGTTTTAGAAATCAAAGAAAAAACTAGCTATACTCAGTTTCATGACTTACTGAAAATCTTTCTACAAATTAATGATCACAGCAAACCCATGATTGTCAAGATTTTCCAAGATCGAGTAATTTTCAAGATAAATTGGCGCTTAAGTATACATTTTTTTTAATTAAAAATTTTGTTGATTTTGCATGATTTAAGTTCACAGATACACGTTTCATAATCAAAACTATAAACAAAAAAAATGTTTGATTTCAGATTGTTAATTGGGGTTCAGATGCTAATTTGCTGATGTCAACCCTCTATTTGCATTTACTCATACATTGACAGCATAGTAAACCATAGATAAATATGACTGCTAAAGAACATTCATTAAACTGGAGGAACTTGTTTTTAACTCAATGAAACCGTGGGTTAGCAAATATCACTTTAATCAGAAGAAACATCTGTAGTTTAAATTGCAACAATGAGTAATGGTAATCGTATGACAAAAGTTCATTTTTTCTAAGCATTCCTCCCAAGGAGACGATAAAAATGTTTGAACGATCAAATTTGCAGTGCCTTGCACCTACTGTCTTAGTCTCAAAACCCTAATTCAACTGGTTTTGCAGTTATAAAATAAACATACGATAAAGCAAACTATTCCAATTCTATTCAGAACAATTATTAATTATCTATATCCTCTAAACCAGTGTTCCCCAACTCCCGGTCCATGGATCAAATGGTATCGGATCAAATGGATAAAATTATACCCCAAATTAAAAAATTTTACAATTTTGTTATTAAAATTTTATTTATTACAATTTTATTAATTTAAAAAAAGGGGGCCTCCGAAGGTAGTGATATAAATTTTTTAATGTTTTAAAAAGTAAAAAAAAGGGTGAGAAAACCACTGCAACTGTCTTTTCTTTCAATTAGCTTGAATAAAAAAATCAATCATCATAACTGTAAATATCATAAATAAAACACGAAAGCGCGGAGCGAAATTTACATTGGAATTAATGAAGAACTTCGTCTTCTCTCAAAAATCGTGATTCATTGATTTAAGTAAGTTAAAATGTAGTTAAAATCTTAGTAAGTAAATATATATGTTAAATCACTTTATATCTATTTTTTGGTGTAACTATATTTTATTTTGAAGGCATGTTTAAATACAATTAAATTAAAATTGATAAATCAAAATAATCTAAAATATAAGCAATCAATTCCCCTCCCCCAGCGGTCCGAGGTAAAATTATCAAACGTAGATAAGTCCGCGGTGATAAAAAGGTAGGGAACACTGCTCTAAACTACATTAATTAATTAGTTTGATTAATTAATTAGTTTGATTAATTAATTAGTTATTTAATTAAGTTAACTTAGTAATATTTAATTAATTTTTTAATTGTTAATTTATATAATTATTACTTTATTTACTTAGATAGTTCTTTATTAATCAATTATTAATTAATTTAATTAATTTAAATATTTCAATAATTTAAAGTATTTCACTTCACTTCCTTTTTTGTTTGCATCTGAACATCGATTACAATCTTTTAATATTAATAAAAACTAGTTAATTCCGTAGACTGATAAATAATTCCTATTATAAATTCGATGAATACCAGAACACGGATGATTCTTTTGGGAGTATTTGCAGCACCGGCTATTTGCAGAATGAACGCAAGTATTGAATTCTGCAATATACTGCATTTGAGTCGCGATGGATCAGGGGATAGAGCGTTCGCTTTTCTATGAGGTGAATCGAGTTCGATCCCAGCAATGGCTGGTCGATATAAAACCGCATCCGGCTTCAACCGACCACAGTGCTGACTTGACGTACCCCCAGAGGTAAACGGATCATGGGGAAGAGTCATTTTGCAGTCAGGCTAACCATGGGAGGTTCTCATGGTCTTCCTCTCCATGTAACGAAAATGTGGGTTAGTTCCATCAAAAAGTCTTTCACGAAGGCAAATTTCTCTCAATTCTTGATCCAGGAGTTCCCTTGTCCTCTCGATTGTGGCCAAAATTACAAGGTTACGGAATTGAACATTAGTAGTCGTAAACCAGAAAATTAGGTTGACTGTCCAATGACGATTATTTACACTAGAAAGACTGAAATACCTAAATTGCCCAAAAGCAGTCAAAATGACTGCATTGTGTAAGAATAACTAATGAATAAAGAAATTTGTTTAAAATTAATTTTTAATATTTTTGATATTATTTTCAGTTATATAACAAGTCATTAGTAAATATATCAACAATAAAAATAATTATAAAAGTCACGAAATTCTGAGAAATTGTGTCATTATATACATAATTGGTTTTCTGATTGAAATTAAGAAGCAGTCAAAATGACTTCCTTGGGCAATCTAGAGTTAAATAAAATAAAATATACTGCGTATGCATAATTACAGAAATCTTTCTTTCGTTTCTTTAATAACAATATATTTTTTTAAGTTCGGTAAGTGCAAAATTTGAAAATTGTTTGTCGCGTAAATGAAAAGCAGGTAAGTGCAAAATTTGAAAATTGTTTGTCGTGTAAATGAAAAGCAGGTAAGTGCAAAATTTGAAAATTGTTTGTCGTGTTAATGAAAAGCAGGTAAGGAGAATTTGAAAATGGAAATGTCAAATAATGATTTATTTATTATGGACCTAAAATTTCACTGACATAAATTTTGAGGTATATTCTGAAAACACAAAAGGTTTTTCCAAAGTGGTGAACCATTTAAATCTGTAGATAACAGCCCAGAACTATCACTTAAAAGGCTGCACCCTGGACAACTACCTTAATTACTTTTTAATAGCTTAGCTACTTAAATTACTCTTAATAATTGAGAACTTTATATAGAGAGTAGCTTGACCCAGCCACACAAGAGGCATCCAGGGAATACAGAAGTCGAAAATTGTACAGATGTTAAGATGTGCTGTTTACAGAGCTCCAAACTGCATCAGAAGAATGTTACGTAGCATAAATTTACAGATGTTACATGCCGAATAAGGTAGGTCAACAAATTTTGGAACATTATACATGAAAATATGAAATGTGAAGGAATGTGTCAAGATGTAAAGATATAAAGGTAGGTAGGTTATTTACGTCGCACTAGAGCTGCACAATGGGCTATTGGCGATGGTCTAGGGATTATCCCTGAGGATGTTCCGAAGATACGACATCACAATTCTGATTGTCTGCAGAGGGGAGGGCTCTCCTGATTTGGTAGCCTGACGACCTGCACGCGAAGGCGAGCACTTTACGATAGAACAGTTTAACGAGGACCGATACAGCACACCTTCGGTCCCTACTCAGGCTGATCAAAGTGGTCACAAACCAACACACTGATCACAGTCAGTGAGGTTTGACTTCGGTGTTCTACTGGGAACCGTGTCTTTGCGATCAGTCCACTTCGGGACAAAGATCTAATGAGATTAAGCCTTTATAGAAATAATTACTGATTAATTAATTATTGATTAATTAGTTATTTAATTCATTATTCTAAAGAAATCCATACCCATTGTAATTGCACACAGTGACAGAAGGCAAATCCGCTTCCTTTGATGTAAGCACCTGAACATCAATTACTGTCTTATATTCCCAATAAAGATTCATGAATACTAAGGACTGATAGATAAATCCTATCAAACAGGCGACAAATACCAGAGCTCGGATGATTCTCTTGGGAGCATTTCCTGCTCCTGCTATTTGAGGTATGCCCGTAAGCATTGAATTCTGCAATATACCTGCCACATAATTTCCAAAATCTTCTTTCCGTTTCCTCACCATTGTAGAAAATTTTCAATTTGGGTGCAAAAGTTCGAAATTTAAGTATGTTTTTTAAAGGTTCTAAGGGAATTAAAAGTTGTTTTGCATTCTTAGTATATTTCGTGTAAATGATTAAGCGTGTACGGAAATTTTAAAAATGAAAATGTCAAATGTGATGTATTTATTATGCACCGCAAAATTTCCCAAGAAGCCTTTTTATTCAGGAAGAGTTACAAATATTTAACCAGTTAATTCAGAGTTTTACCTTAATGGGTTAATTGAAGTTAATATTTGCTCTCACTTCGTCATAATTTGTTTAAATACTGCAACAGCTTTTGTACTTCCAAAAAGTAAAAAAAAAAATAGAGCTAAGCAAATAATTGATGTTGCGTGATTACCTTTGCCTTTTCTGAGTGTTTTCGACGTTTGAAACAGTGAAAATCAAATGTTTTAGCAATTGAAAATGCTCGTAAATAGTTAAGAACAAGAGTTTAAGTAAACGAAGTGGACAGAAACAAATGATTTGTAAGGGAAAACAAACATTACAACACGTTAGATAAATCAAAATGTCACGAAAGTATTTTGCGAAACAGACGAAACAAAAAAAAATAACTGTCAAAAAAGTTGAATGCGTTTTTTAAATGAATGAGATACTATGTTTCAAGACTTATGAAACATATAATTTTTTTTAAAAATAGGCATAAAACAGTTTTCAATTTTTAATAGGTCTAAAAAAGAAATCTTAAAATTTAGTATAAATATGTTTCAGGATGAATAATTAAATAAATGCTATGAAAAACTCTCATTTTTATACAGTAAAAATTGAATCTGAAATTTGTTAAAAGAACAATAATTGAAATATGTGTAGAATGATTCTTAATTTTCAATAGAATTGAAATATATTAATGAAAATAAATAGTATTACTTAATTAAAATAAACGCGAAATAATTATCGGTTTAAAAAGATTAAAATTTAAATCTTACACTTGTTTACGACGAATAATTTAAAAACAGATGGTAAAACTACTTGTTTTTATAGATTAAAAATTGAATTCGAAATTTGTTTAAAAGTACTATTAATTAAAAGAAGTATGAATAGTTCTCAATTTTCAATCAATAAAAATTAAGCATTAAATACGCTTCGATAAATAATTAAAATAGGTATAGAATAATTCTCTGTTTAAAACCATTCAAAATAAAATCTTGAAAATGTTTCAATACGTATATTTAAAATAACGGTAAAAAAAAATTCCTTTCTTATAGATTAAAAATTGAATCTGATATTTGTCTTAAAACAAATAATTAAAATAGGTATAGAATAGTTCTCAATTTTCAGTTGATAAAAAATCACATTCCAATTGTGTTTGACAAATAGTAAAAAATAAGCAAATAACGGTTTAAAAATAGGCGAAAAAAATTTATTTTAAATATGTTTAAGACGAATGATTATAAAGACGATAATTTTTTTAATTTTTAGTTTTTATAGATTAAAAATTAAATCAAAAAATGTCTAAAGATGAATAATTAAAATTGGTACAGAATAATTCTCTGTTTTCAATTGATAAAAAATCAATTATTAAATTTGTTTCGAGACAAATAATTAAAATAATCATAGAATATAACTATTGGTTTAAAAAGAATTAAAATTTAAATCCTTAAATATGATTTTTCAATTCTAATATTTAAAAACGCAATAGAAGCATTCTCAGTTTCTATTCAATAAAAGTTTCATCGTAAATTTGTTTAAAGAACAATAAGCAAAAGAGTTATAGAATGAATAATTTTCCATCTATATAAAAATCAAACTTTAAATGTGTTTAGAGACTAATTAAAATAAGCATAGAATAGTTCTTGGTATAAAAAGATTGAAATTGAAATCGTAAATGTGTTTAAAATGAATAATTAAAATAGCCATAGAAAAATTCTCCGTTTTTATAGATCAAAAATCGAATCTGAAATTTGTTTAAAGACGAATAATTAAAAGAGGTATAAAATAATACTCCATTTTCTATCGATTAAAAATCAAATCTTATATGTGTTTCAAAGCAAATAATTAAAATAACCGTAGAATAAATCTCGGTTTAAAAAATTTAAAAATTAAATCTTAAATATCTGTCATGACTAGAATGGAGATCGAACAAATCTCAGTTCTTATTAGATTAAAAATCAAACATTAAACATGTTTCAAGAAAAATAATTTATATGCTGTTGAAATATTCAAATTTTTTAAAGATTAAATAGTAAAAATGAAATTTGCTTCAAGACAAATATTTGAAACTAGTAGGCTGGGCCCCCTGCTCGTTAAAGCTCGCCAACCCCCGAAAATTGCTACGCAGTCTTATATGGTTTGCTTCGCAAACCAAGCTCGCTTTGCTCGCTACTAACTTAGGTACATTGCAAATTCACAAAATTCTAAGAATTCAAAACAATCATTCAAATCCATATAAGACCTTTTTTTTAATATACATCTTTTCAGTAAATACTAAGTCATTAAAATAAATTTGAATTCAAATAAATGACATGTAATTCGTTAAAACTATTAGAAATGTGCTATAGCATAATTCGAGATATAAATCAAAAATCGTCAAATAAATTCGTAATATATAAATTCTTGAAAAAAGCGCTTTCGACTAAATACTAAAATAGAGATACATCGACAAAGACTACTCACTTCTGCCTAGCGTAATAGTATGAGAATGCCGCAGCTGATGCTCTCTGGTTATTTCAGTTTCCGTTTTTAAAAGCGCTATATGTTGAGCCTATCCAGTTAGATTTTGCATGTGACATTTTTAGCGGCAATCATTGGTCGATTCGCCGTTTAAGAGAAATTGTAACGTAAACAAAACAAAGCAAACGTTGCCACCGGTAGAAAAGAAATGCAGCCAAAATTTGGGAGCCACGTAAGAGAATTATATATATATTAGATTAGTTTTAACTTACTGTTAACTTAATGTTTTGTGATTTATAAATTTTTATTTTATATTAAAATCAGTGTCAAGTTTTTATTCAAATGTAGGTTTTTATTTTAAATTTAGTTTCTGGTTGATCCATAAAAATACAGAATTAAATAAAAATAATTAAGTAATTGTAATGAAATTAAGATATTAAACATTAAGAAGATACTTTGTAGAAGCAACTGAAAAGTTGCTGCAAAATTAATTGCTTAAATAGATATAAAACAAATGAAATAAAATAAAAATATGACCACCGAAGCCGACGTCTTCAGGGGGTACCGGCCCCGGTAGCCCCTGAAGAATTTGTGTTTTCTTTCAGTATTGCTTAAATAGAGTCATACAAGCTTAATTATACAATTTAATTGCATATAATCATACAATTTAATTGCAAAATAGAGTCATACAAGCTTAAGTGAAGTAATACATATTATTAGGTCAAATTTTTATTTCGTTTTGCCGAAATAAAATACGACAACGACTTAAAGTGAATATTAAAAATTTCTTAGCCTTGATGATTCAATCTAGAGACAAAGTCTTTTTTCAAATTTTTTAACTGTTACAACACAATCTAGTGTTGTAGCAGTTAAATTACGAATCATCTACTCAATCCTGATAGAATAAATCACTTTTAAATTTTAATAAACTTTAAATCTTAATTCCCATGTATTAGGAATTACAAATTTTCAAAATCACAGAGTGATAAAAAGTTTGTCCAAAACTACCGAAACATGGTGAAATTTATATTGTTTCTGGCTCTACTGAAGTTTCAGAAAGCTCGTTAGTTTTAACCGAAGCGAAGTGATTTTTGTAAAATTAGCAAAAAAATATAGTTTTTTATAATATATGGTAAAATTTGGTAAATGTGGTATAAATTCGTAATTTTATCATTATAACTAAAAACCATCTATTCGGTTAAATTTAATTTTCTGCTTTGCATTTTTTTTATAAATGTAAAATATATAAAAGTATTTTTTTAAATTTTATAAGAACCAAGTAGCAGGTAACTGATACAACTAATGTTTAATGATAATGAAATAAGACCAATGAATGAATATATCTATTAATAACAAAATATATAATTTTTTATCTAATAATAAAGAAGCAGGAACATAGCACACCCGATTATTTATTTTTTTTGTCGTATGCCTGTTTAGGCAGTAGGGGTGCGATTGTTCCTTATTTTCAGTGGCGCCATCTATGGCCAAGAATTAGACTCCTGCCACGCCATTCACACAACCACAACCCGTTTATAGGGTGGGTCACATTCATACATATTCTCACACAAAGGAGAAAGAACATAGAACACACAGAGAGAGCATACCTGATGCATTTTAATAATATTTATATATTAACAATTAAAGAATTTTAATCTAAAAACAGTTTGTAAAATCTTATCACAATTAAATAGGATGGATAGAAATGATATTTAACAAAAAAATAGTTAATGAATGAAATCTAATGAGAAAAATGTTGAAAATTAACGAAATCTAATTATGAAATGAAAATAATAAAATACTGCAATAAAGAACTGGAATATGATTAAAATCTAATAATAATGACATAGAATTAGGCGATATGAAGATCATACAAACAATTGAAAAGTTTGTTTAATAACCATCGTTGAGCACCGACCCAATTTTGAGGTTATGACTACCACTGTTCAACTGTGTAGCCTTGTAATTTTGAATCCAATCCAGAAAGCAAAGAAACCCCAGGACACAATGGGTACTTGCAACTCGAGAAGAAGATGATCTCTGACACACAGCTGCGTGATCAATATCCTCAGCACCAGCTCTTCGTTTATATACAAGATGGCGTGTTAAAGTCAAGGTAAGTTTTTCCACAAAAGTTAGAATGTTAATTAATACAAAGTTAATTAAATACAACACCGTATCACACATCAAATTCGCTAAATTATAATTCCTTTTTGTTTACGTCTTTTACTTAAATTAGATTTATGGTTTGCATATACATTTTAATGTAACCGTGATTATTTTTGTTTTGTGTATCTCTCACCTTCGGTGCATAATTAATTTATTTATGTTCTTCATGCCGTCGTGTCAGTCTTTGTGTTAAATAAGAAATTAATTACGAAAGAATTGAAATCTTTGTGAAAGAATCTTTCTGAAGGAATATAGAATGTGTCACTTAAGATAATTGATATTTTACGTGCTTAGTTTACTCGTAATAGAATGGAAAGAAT